TCTTTTTAGTATATTAATAAACAATTTTAGTTCAGCCTTTCATCCGGTCGAATTCAATATATGAATAAAATATTTCGTCACAATATTCTAGTATATAAACTCAAATTTATGAATGGGTTATAAACGTAAAAGAGATTATAAAATCTTAATACCATAATTTAGGACAAATTAACATTGATTATCATGAATCGGAACGCATTATTTTAATGCGAACCACTTTTTGAATTCCAATTGAAAGCAATAGCTCATTGCACATCAAGGAGAAACGATTCTCGAATAGGCGTATTCAAACCGCGGATCTATGCGAACAGCTTTCAATGCAGCTAAAGGGTAAACCTATCTTTGAATTCAACATATTGGTAGCTTTCAATGCGCCACAGAAATATTAGCTCATGTTGCTATACAGACAAACTATTCTACATAGATTTACATAAACATGACGTATACAGAATAGAATGGAGCACTAGTCAAAATAAACTGTTCCGACGACGCGAAGGAACCTCGAGCTCGAGGGAGAGAGCCTGAGTATTTGACACTTTCAAGTGTTTTTCCCAGAAAATTCGGACTCCACGTCGTCGATCCCTAACAAAGGCGTTTAGTTTCGGGTGCCTGAGATCTGGGACTCATCACTCCGCATTCTCCCACTCGGGTATGCCAGGCTATATTTTATGGTGTATACATCTGGTATCGCAGTAGGACACCGACCGATAAGGGTAAAACGAGACGAGAAATCTTGATATTGCCGAGCATTCAAGATGCTCTCGTTTTCACTCACCTAATCCCACCCTCTCGGGCCTAAATCATGTTTGAGATGGGTGGGGCCTTGACTCGGTCTTAAAGGAGGACACGCCGATTGGAAAAAGAACTCATAAGAAGAACCAATCAGCATGTTTCCCGACTCCGATGCGTTTGTCGCCGAGCAGTGTTAGCATCGTTTCGGCTAACCTGTTCAATTTCGTTTGGGCTAGTGACTGGTCATCGTTTCGGACATTAATCGAGATTGAGAACTGCCATATACAAAAGATCATAGGCAAAGATCGAGATCATAAACATGCCAACCGTTTCGGGCACTGATCGAGATCATAAGGCGATTATCCTTGCTAAACGTTTCGAGCAAGGATCACCATTATCAAGGTGCCAACCGTTTCGGGCCCGATCGAGATCATAAGGCAATTATCATACATATTCTGCCAATCGTATCGGGCACTTTGAACAAGTAAAGGTTAAATTAATTTTTAACTTTTACGCACGAACTCGGACGAACAACGTACGAAGTTAGTTCGAGACGAAACAAAACTTAATGTACAATTTCAACATCTCTCAAACTCCATCGTCTTATTGTTACATTCCGATGTACCAACAACGANCTGATGCAGTTTGGTCCTTTAATCCGGGGACACTCTATATAAAGATATTTTCAAATGGATCAGAAAGAAAATTCCTGATTCCCATTGCTCTCGAAATTCAGCATTGTGTTCCACTCTAATTGCGGACATCCAATCATAATCAGCGAGTAATCTCGTTTGTCATTTGTCTTGATCGTTCCGCGTTTAACCGAGTATACCCGTCAGCAGGATAAATTTTCAGAACGAGAAGAACGTTCTCGCAATTCTTTCGCTCGGTGAATCGCACCAGTCCGCAATCCGTTTTTTGAGCTGGCATCTTCATTTGTCACCAGTGTAAATAACGAAGAGTTATATACTCCACTTCAAAAATTAGTCAGACAGCCAGAACAAAATTGTTGAACAAATTGACGTACTATTTTTATATCATTTCAAGTTCCACTGTGTACAATACTTTTTTACGCAAAATTTGATACTTTATCCAAACTTGGAAAAAAATATTAGACATTTCATGTAAACATCTGGAAGTGACCCTAACATCTCAATAAAAAAGTAAAATAATAAAAAACAGATTAAAGCACTGTATGTCCTTCTGGATACTATCCATCTTTTATTTGAAACATTCCTTCATCGAATAACTTGTGTTATTTGAGGTCGTCATGTTATAAAACTCATCCTGTATAAGAAGATTTAATTTTTATCTTTTCAGAGAAGTACTAGATGAACTAAAAATCTTCTTATATAAGAACGAAAAATGTAGTTCCGTAAACCCATATTTTGCACTATTTCTGCCTGGTGATCGATAAAACAGAGTAAAAAAAGTTAAAATTTTACCGACAGATGTTAGAAATGACACGCGGCCATTCTAGCCCTTTAAGGATGATCTTATTCGACACTTTATTAAAATACCAGACTGAACTAAGA